GTCTGAAGAAATCTGCCAGCCACTGGGCAGAGAGGTTACACATGTTAACCATTTCATTACCATTCCCTTGAGTTTCCAGCATTGGCAGCAATACTCGCAGTTGAGATTTAACTTACATTTGAAATCTCCAATCACTGTGTGTAATAGCTACACAAAGATTACATTACAACTCATTAAAAATGAAAATTAAGGGGCGCCTGGGTGGCTCAGTCGGTTGAGCGGCCGACTTCGGCTCAGGTCATGATCTCGCGGTCCGTGAGCTTGAGCCCCGCGTCGGGCTCTTGCTGACAGCTCGGAGCCTGGAGCCTGTTTCAGATTCTGTGTCTCCCTCTCTCTGACCCTCCCCCGTTCATGTTCTGTCTCTGTCTCAAAAATAAATAAACGTTAAAAAAAAATATTTTTTTTTAAATGAAAATTAACTGTATACAGAAGATGGCTTGTCACATGCCAGGCAATGTAATTACAGGCAGCAGAAACTGCCAAATTTCTCAGAATATATCAGGAATTTTTCACATCTAGGAAAAGCTGGTTTAATCAACTCGTATATCAAGGATTTCAATCACTCTGGTACCTAAGAGCTTCTGATTAATGTCCAGAGGAAAATAATTTACGTCTGAGGATATTTAACTCAAGGGAAAAAACAAAATTACAAGTTTAACAAATGAGAAGTGCAGTCAAAATCAAGAAAGTCTTCCATATGCTTCATAAGCATTCTCAATTCTGAAAGTGCTAAAGAAGTAAAAATCATTACCATCAACTAAAAAATAGCATTTCACCATGATGCTTTAACTACCAATGTTAAAAAGTAATTCAGAAAATTTTTTACAATGTGAAGAGAGGCTTAGACTAAAACTTTATTCCATACTAAAGAAAAAATAGTATATAACTAAAGATATACTAAGGATATAAAATTTAATAAATTTGTGTATATTAGGGGCGCCTGGATGGCTCAGTTAAGTGTCCAACTCTTGATTTCGGCTCAGGTCATGATCTCATGGTTTGTGAGATCAAGCGCCACACTGGGCTCTGCACTGACAGCACAGAGCCTGCTTGGGATTCTTACATTCGTCTCTCTCTGCCCGTCTCCCACTTGCACTTTCTCGCTCTCTCAAAATAAATATATAAACTTAAAAAAATTAATAAAAATAAATTTGTGAACATTTAATGTAGTGTATCTTTTTTCCCACCCCCCCAAAACTTTACTAAGTATACAATGAGTCACAATCATTTGGCATATGTGAACACAGTATACTCACGATTTATAGCTATTACTGTATTTAACTTATATTTCCAAAGATTTGTTTGGATCCAAAGACAGTATTCCTCAAGATAACTGATGACTCAGAAAAAGCAACTCATACTCAACGAACATTTTATCACAAAAGAAAAAGTTCAATCCTTGCTCCTATTCAAGTCAGTAATTTGTAAATACACAAAAATACACAAAAACACATTTTAAAAAGTTTATCGAATAAGACATCACTGGGAACTGAAAGAGCTAACGAACAGTGAGCTAAATGACCAGATTAGGGCACAGTAAGCTTTCCAGCTAGATAGAATAAAGGATCAAAACGAACAAAGTATGATTTAATAAATGTAAAGTCCTATTTTAGGTTAAAAAAATAACTGTAAGAAGGGACAGCATGGAGAGACAGCCAATCACTTGAGAAAAAGCAATATTAAAAAATTAACATACTCTTGCACTGCATTACTTAATGTGTGCTTTTTAGTACACATTGGCACACTGTTCAACTCTAAACATACATTGCTTAAAGCAACGAATATGCTCTCCTTTTTGTCTTTGCTTATGAGGCTACTATAGCTCTAACACTAAGGTTAGTTCTTAGCACCATCCTCAAAGGGAAGAATTAACAAACTGAGTTTCACTAAAAGACAATGATTAAGATTTTCATTTACTTATTTAACACACATATCTAGTATTTAATGTTTCAGGGACCATCTAAGCACTTTATAATCCATGCCAAATGAAGAATGGATGCAGAAGTTAGGAATGTTTAACTGAAAGATAAGAACATGACAGCTCTTGTCAAAGATCTAAAGGGCTATCATGTGGATGAGGTAGCCCATTTATTTGTGCCATTACATAAAAAGGAAACAGAACAAACAAGAGTGACCGGTTTGGGCTCTATAGCAACTCTGAAATTTGTCCAATGGCAAAAATCTCTCCATAAGGCTACTATAATGACTAAATGAGAAAATACATATTAAAGAACTTTGTTGTAAATTTCCACAGTACACATTACTAGAATGTACTTCTGTACAGTATAGTGGGTCCTGACTAACAGAAATATTTACCGAGGCTGACCACGGACTTTGGAGTCCTAGCTATTAGTTCAGTTCCCAGCTTTGCAATTTATACCAAGTATGCAACTTTAGCAAAGTTTCCTTGTATCTCTAGGCTTCACTTTTTTCACCTTTAAAATAAGGATAAAAGAATCTGCTTTGCAAGGTGATTGTGCAAATTAAATGTGATAATATAGGTAACATTTAGCATAGTGCTGACACACTCAGTAAATTGTGTCTATGATGAGGATAATCATCATCATCATCATCATCATCATCATGTTGTAGAAGGTATCTCTCTGGTGAATATAAAACTAACTATGTGGTATGATGTGGTATGACTGCATGGCTCTGCTATGCACCTGCATGAGTGTATGAAACTGCTATGCACTTATCATGTTACAACAATCCAAATATAATATACAGCTTGCATTTGTTTGGTGATTTTAAAAGCGTTTATCTTTTGTAATGTGAAGGAAAAAATATCCTTAAAATCTAAATAAGTATCCAGGTTAGTAAAATATCAGGAATAAAAGTCATGTAATGTAATGGGGAAATTATGCAGCTACAGAAAGAAAAGGGACTAAAGAAGTAGCACATTAAATATAAGCTACTCTTCCTAGTTGACTTCATGGTGAGAGATGAAAATATATATTGAAGGGGGAAAAATTACACTCTCTATAGATATGTGAACTACTGGTTACAGTCATCAGAAATACCAACAATACAAGGGCAGCTAAGTTCACTGCAAACATTTGGTACATCAAAGCAATGTAAAAAGAGAAGTTCAGTAGGCTAAGGACAAGAGTATAAGGGATTTAGGATTCTAATTACTTCATTACCATCAACAAACAATATTATGCTTGTTGCAATAACAGTAAAATGATTGAATAAATGTAGGAATGAAAAACCAGGTGCAGCTTTCAGGTACTTTTTTGAGGATTTGAATTATGATCAATGACAGTGATATTATTACAATATTGGAAATTCAGGGGCGCCTGGGTGGCTCAGTTGGTGATGCATCCGACTTTGGCTCAGGTCATGATGTTGCCGTTCATGAGTTCAAGCCCCAAATCCGGCTCTGTGCTGACAGCTCAGAGCCTGGAGCCTACTTCGGGTTCTGTGTCTCCCTCTCTCTCTGCCTCTGCCTCCTGCCCCGCACTGTCTCTCTCTCAAAAATAAACATTTTTAAAAAGGCAACTATTTTAAAAAAACAATACTGGAAATTCAGATACAAGTGCAATTGTTGGAGAATTATACAACCAATAGAAATCTTATTTTTTAATCTAAATTTTTGCCCTAATTTCACATAAGAAGCCTAGAGTCCACTGGAATTAAGGGAGCTTATTCCTCAGGCAAGCATTTCATTAATGTGTTATATATTATTTTGACCAGAGTTGAGTGTGTCTTAAATGAATGTATACAATAGTCATGTTCAGTTAAAAGCAGAGCTATAAATAGTATTTGTCAACTACTCAATTTAAAATGGCTTATTAAGGGGCGCCTGGGTGGCGCAGTCGGTTAAGCGTCCGACTTCAGCCAGGTCACGATCTCGCGGTCCGCCAGGTCACGATCTCGCGGTCCGTGAGTTCGAGCCCCGCGTGGGGCTCTGGGCTGATGGCTCAGAGCCTGGAGCCTGTTTCCGATTCTGTGTCTCCCTCTCTCTCTGCCCCTCCCCCGTTCATGCTCTGTCTCTCTCTGTCCCAAAAATAAATAAACGTTGAAAAAAAAAAAATTAAAATGGCTTATTAAATGTTGAAAATGTCAGTGTTGACGTGTTTTCATTAATAAATGCACTGCTGCTTGGAAGTCAACTCAATTACATCACATTTTTGAAATTAAAAAAAAAAAAGTTCAGCTGATGAGTTACGACAGAAAGTAGAAATACAGTCCTTGAATAATAAATGATACTCTATTTTGCCATATAGGTTATGATGAAGTTACTATGAAAAACTGTAGTACTATTTTTAGTCACAGTCATCAAGATGAAACATTATTAGCAATTATGTAAAACAAGCAAAACACTCAAAACTCTACTCCAAAATTTTAGCTACTTAAGTCACTTTACTTACTCTAGGCATCAAATGCCAACAACTTTCTACATTTTGGCTGTTAGAAATCAAAGCATTCTATATCCCATCTTAAATGCAAAGTGTAGACACTTTGTATCAAACTAAGTTTCCTGAAAGCAGAGAAAAAGAAACAGACAACCTGGGGGCAGGTAGAAATCACAACCAGTTGCAGTCAAGTTGGGATCTGTACCTGAATAATGAAAGGCAGGTGGGCCATTTTATATGTACAAAATTCGAGATCCCCAGGTGAGAGAAGGGGAGAGAAAGAAAAGAAACACAGTTACATAAACATAGGAAGGCCAGGTTGGACATGGGGCAATTTTCAATTTCTTTGTAAAAAATCAATACATTGAAGGCCTGTCTCAAAAATAAACAAAACAGCTTCTCAGAGGAAACTTTGAAGTGGGCAAGGAGGAAACATTCCTTTGCACCCACAAGCATCAATCCCCTGACCACTGGCATGCTATTACTGAAACGGTCATGATTTACAGGCATTTGGCCCGAATGACGAGCAAAGGAGAGGAAAGAAAGGTCTGTTGGAGAGGAGCCTAGGATTCCAGAGGCCTGGGAAGGCACACCCTACGTTCGGGAAAGGAGAGGTGGAGACGGACGAGCACTCCTCACCGTGATTATCTTTCTGCCCGATATTGTGCGTGCGGATGAGAGAGGACAGTCTCCTCACATCCCCCTTGAAGACGCACTCGTGTACCGGGTAGTGTGCGGGACAACTGCCTCCATCTGCGACGACAGCAATGGGGTTGGTGCCCGCTAGAAGAGCCGGGGACTGGGAGGTGGTAGTCACGGAGGAACCGTGCAGCGGCAGGGCCGGGACGCCAGGGGGGTTGGAGGAGGCCGGAGCTGTCTTCAGCTGCAGCCGGCGGTGATGGTTACTGAAGATCTTATGACAGGCTTTGCCGCCCTTGCCGCCGCCGCCTGTCCCAAGCCTGCCTCCCGTAAAGGTGCCGCCTAGGGTAGCCGCCGCTTCCTCATCCCCGGGTTCCAGCAGGTCCCCCTCTTCTTTGCTGGGCTTGTGGTCTCTCCGCAGTGAGCGGATCTTCTCCCCGGTCATCGCCGCCAGGGGCAGAGAGGGGATCCGGGAGGCTCACCGCCCGCGACGGAGCTGGCGCTGCGGCGGCGCAAGGCGATTAGAGCGGTGGCCAGGATCCTCCAGCGCAGCATGAACTCTCAGGGCGCCCCCGAGCCCGGGACAAACGCATCTCCTGGAGAGAGAAGAGCCGGCTCTCGCCTAGGCACGAAGGGACGCGCGCTCGCTGGGGGGAGCTAGAGCTCAGGTGCCCACGACACCAGGATCCCTGTCCCCGCTGCCGCAGCCGCCGCCACTACCTCACGCCGGAAAACAGGGCACGGCCATCTTACCCTGACTTCTCTCGCGAGAGCTCCCTCGGGAGGAGGGAGGAAACACCGCGATAAGTGAGCTGGCCGCTCCCTCCCTCGCACCGTCTAGTCCCGGAGAGTAACCGAGCTCCGCCCCTAGTTTAGGACCTGACAATTGGCGCTTCTGATGGGCGGTGTAAAACCTTAACTTGTGTTTGAGATACTCGATGCAGTTTGTAAACAATGACTGAAACCCTCAGACCTCTGGGTCTCCAGCAGAGTAATGCAAACTGACGCCACTGCACACAGGATGTGATGTCAGTATGATGTTGCACAAGATACTCATTCAATCAACATTTACTAAGCATCTACTTTGTATCATACACTGAGCTACTAGATTTCCAAGACGCCACTCCTGGCTCCAAAGAGATCAACACGGGGGGTGGGGGGGGGGGGACGATAAACAATTGGGAGCTGGGTTGAAAACAAAAAACTAAACTAAACAAATAAATAAGAGAAAAATTTTCGCGTTGGGGTGTCAGAAAAGACAACAGTTTAGGGGCTGACCTTGGAAAACAGGCTATTCGGCAAACGGGGTGAAGGGAAGTCAGATTTTTGTTAGATAAATGAGTTACAAACAGGTGTCAGAGTTTCAAGCAAGAAATGGACGCTAAAGGATGGCAAATAATAATTGTGTAAATGGAATATCCTTGGACTAGTTCATGGCCAAACTCGACCCATCGTCAAATTCTGAAGAAACGTAAATCTGAAGTCTGGACCAAATAACTAAAGTTGTGGGGAACTTGAAGTGGGGTAGTTAGCAAAAACATCCTCGAAGTCTTCCTTCACTCGTTTTATCTTTTCGAAGTCCCGTTTACACTGACAGCTGCTTCTCTCAAATCTCTTCTTTCTTAAACTTTATTGCCACCTCCATTCCTCGGCAAATAAATAAATAACTGTGGGAGCTGGGGTCTCTTTATCCTTCCCTGCCATTCAGGTTTTCACCTCCCATCTTCTTCCAAATCTATTCAATTCGATTTATTTCTACCCTGCTTTCTTTTCTTTTTTTAGCGGGGGGGAGAGGGGGAGGGGGATGAAGGTTGTTCCAGTTATCTTCAACCATTACCTAATCAACATCTCAAAGGATCCTATCCTACTCATAAAGCAAGAGATACTGAACACATACATACAAAAACACTTTGTTCTTCCACAGTAGCCAATATTTATTAACTCTAAGGCAGCCAATATGCTTGCCACTTTATATGCTGTTATCTCCTTGTGATATTATTTTTAATCTTCACTGGACAGTTGAAAAAACTTGCCCAATGCTTCAAAGCTGGAATGCAGCACAATGCGGCCTGATTCTAGAGCTAGAGAGTTAGGAAGGAGCCAGATATGCAGGATTTTGTATGTCTTCTTCAAAGTTTAGACTTTAGCCCACAGGAAATGGACAGCCCTTTGGAGACGTTGAATAGGGGAATAGGATGATGAGATTTGCCTTTTAGAAGAGCCATTCACTCACTCATACTTTAGAAAAACATGTATCAAGAATAGACTACAAGGAGGCTACTCTAGAGACAAAGAAACTGACAGACTACTGCATAAATCAAAAAATAAATGTGTTAGTAAATGCATGTAGAAGTATGGCAGAATATACCTATCACACAGAGTGAACAGTGGTTAGCTTTGGAAGATGGGATTGCCAAAGCACGTATTTCCTACATTGCTTGAATGTTTATTTACAAAGGGAAAGGGTTAGTTTTTATTTCAGAAAAAATTAATTAATTTTTAAAGAAGTTTGCAGTAATTCAGATGGTAAGAAATTATGAGAGCATGAACCAAGTTAGTAAGAGTGATGCTAGAGAAGGTGCAAGAGTTAAAAAATTTTTTTTGTTCGCTTTTGGCATATTGAATTGAAGCTTCTTGTTGCTCAACCAGAAGAAGTAAGATGGTTTACATTTTGGAGATTTTGAAATTACCCTAGAAGGCAGAGATCGGGGTTAAGATTCAGGAGTTATCATTACACAGTAATTGATGCCACAGAAGTCTTTGAATTTCCCCAAGGAACAGTGTGTAGTGCATAGTGTGAGAAATTAAGGTCCAGTCTAGAATAAAATACCAATATGTAAAGCTTGTGTATAAAAAGAGTGGCCAATATCCTATTGTAATCAAAAACCTACACCAAATAGTCTACCATTATAGCTAAGAAGTATGTTATCACTAGTGACTGACACTTGTAGATAGAAATGAAAATTCCTGTGTCCCTCTAGTAAAATCAAACACTGCAGGCATCAAAAGTAATATTCAGCCCTTATTTTTAAGGGTTCAACAATATAATAGTGAAAAGTGGTGTAGAAATATAAGATTGCAATACATTGTGAAAAATACAAGAAATTATATGAGATCCTGATATAATACAGAAGTTATTAATTCTATTTGAAGGAAATGAAAGTCAAGTGATTAGCAAGTCTTTCTGAAGGAGATAATAGTCTGAATTAGGTTTTAAAGAATGTATAGAGTTGGCCAATTGGGCAAGGGGAAAATATAGATAATAACAATAATTATAATAACAGCTACCATTTACTGAGAGCTTACCATGTATTAGGCATTGTTCCAAGCAAGTTTCAATAACTGTTCGATTTAATCACACAACATCTCTATGAGGTACTTACTGTCCCCATTTTACAGATGAGGCAACTGAGGCACAGGAAATGATCATCCAGCTGATTAGTAGAGGTGAAAAAATAGTAGGTATAAATGCAGCATTATATTTTAGAACCATTGGAGCATAGTATGTGACAGGAAATGTGGTTGTAAATAAGGCTAGAAAACAAAGCAGGAGATAGGTTGTAAAAAGCAACCGTAAGACACTTGGACGGTATATACTAGGCAGTGGAGAGTTTGCAAAAGATTTCAAACACAGTAAAGACAGGACCACATGTAATCACCATAATGTATAATCAACCCATCTTCCAAAAATAGGAGATTCTGCCAAACTTTCCAGCTTCGCCTCCTCCCACATTTCCAGATTCATTCCTCATTCTAACCAAAACAATCTGCTGGCAGTCCCTGATCCTCTCTCATGTTTCCATGCCTTTGCACATGCCGTTCCATATGTCCTAAACCCATTTCTATTTCATTCACCTAGATACCTCCTCAGTCTGTCAAAATTAGTTTAAATTTTCTCTCTTCTTAGCACAAGGGTTTTTTTTTTTTTAACTTGACATAGAATTCAGGGGTCCAGGAAATTACATTGAACTAAACCTCTAAATAAAATTCATTTTAGCGTGGCTTTCTATTATGAATGTAGGTCACAAACCACAATAGTATTGGCAGCACTTGTGCCTTTGCAATCACAAGAAAACACATTTTTGGGCCACATTACAGTTGTTACAGATATCCCAAAATACCATTTATGCTCATCACTATCTCAAACTTACATTAATTAATATGTCCACTACTTGATCTTGTTTTTTAATGAGTTAATAAAGCACATTAATTACTATATCACATTTTTATTTGATTTCAATAGCTATTTGATTTGTTTTATTTTGATTTGATTTGTTTTATTTCATTAGCTATTTCCTTTTGTAACCCAAAGTATTTTATGCATTTAAAAACATTGTTCTGAAAATGGCTCTCTAGGCTTCACCATACTGCCAAAGAGGTTCTTGGCATGAAAACAAAAGTTAGTGCAAACTTCCAGTTGTAAAATAAATAAGTCAGAGAGATGAAAAGCACAGCCTGGGAATATAGTCAATAACATAATAGCGCTGCATGACAAATGATGACTACACTTACTATGGTGAACCCTGAGTAATGCATAGGACTGTTGCATCACTACATTGTACACCTGAAACTAGTATAACATTGCATGTCATCTACACTTAAATAATAAAAAAATTTTTTTTTAAGTTACTCCTTTTTAGGAGTCTCTAATGACACCTCCTCTCTCCTTCTCTCCTATCCAACGTGCCACCATTCTGAATTAGGTGTCCTTCCTTTGCCTTCTTTCTGATTTCCCATTTTAATTTTTGCAAGTTATATCTTGTCTGCTTCCTCAACTAGTCCTTTGAGCTCTCTGAGTCCCAGAACTATGTTTATCATTTCTGTATGCACAGTGCCTTTCAGATAGTGAAATAGTGAATGCTTAATATTAATAATTAACAGTTCTTGGATTAACCAATCAATTAGAACATAAAACCCCAAAGTATCTACAATGTACCAAGACAATTGTAAACTAAGTGATGAGATGCTAAATAAACAAATAATCCCAGTCTGACTACATTGAAGTTGACTACTACTCTCTTGGATTCTTATGTGAGACCCAAGAGAAAATATTTCATCTTGGATTGTTTTTTCATTTACAAATAACAACAAATTCAATGAAAACTGGCTTAAATTAAGTTGATTTATCAACTTATACTACAGAAAGGGGCAAAGATATATCTTCAAGAGGGGCCTGATCCAAAATACATGTCAGTTTCTAGGTGACTCTTAGTATGCCTCTCCCTGTTTGGAGTGTCCCCCCTGAAAGGCCAGTTTCCCTCAGGGAAGAAGATGCCTGCCAGCAGTTAACAGGGGCCATGTGTTCCCTCCTTCAGTTTCTGAAACAGGGCCCATGACCATAGAAGTGTGGTGCTCGACATTCATAAAAGGACCCTGTCCAATCCCTGTAGCTAGGAGAGTGCTGATTGGCTCAGGCCTGGGTTACCTAAACAACTCCCTGTGGGG